CACTCCCGGCCACTGCAGCCTCGACCCACTGGGCTCTGGCGATCCTTCCGCCTCAGCCTTACAAGTAGCTGGAACTATAGGCGCGCGCTACCACACCCGGCTAATTTTTGACTTATTGTAGAGATGAGGTCTCGCCAAGTTGTCCGGGCAGGTCTTGAACCCGCGGACTCAGGCAATCCACTCACCTCAGCCTCCCAAAGCGCTGGGATTACAGGTTGAGCCACCAAGCCCGACTTTTTTTTTTTTTTTTTTTTAAGATTAGAAAATATAGTTTAGAAAGTACATTAGAGAGAGAGAAAGAAGAGATTCATCACCCCAAGGTAGGAGAGGGAGCCAAAGCCAAGAAACATGGGCTGGCCATAGCTCAAAGAGCACATAGCTGCACCATAGCTTAATGTGGCAATGGTGGTGGCAATGGCCCACAGACAGATTTCTTTTTTTTTTTTTGAGTTGGAGTCTCACTCTGTTGCCCAGACTAGAGGGCAGTGGCACGATCCTGACCACTGCAGCCTTGATCCTTCTGCCTCAGCCTTCCAAGTAGCTGGAGCTACAGGTGTGCGCTACCACACCCGGCTAATTTTTTGATTTATTGTAGAGATGAGGTCTCGCCAAGTTGCCCAGGTGGGTCTTGAACCGCCGGCTCAGACAGTCCACTCATCTCAGCCTCCCAAAGGCGTGGGATTACAGGCTGAGACACCGAGCCTGACCCTTTTTTTTTTTTTTTTAAGTTGGAGTTTTACTCTGTTGCCCAGGCTGGAGTGCAGTGGCACGCTCCTGACCACCGCAGCCTCGACTTGCTAGGTTCAGGCCATCCTTCCGCCTCAGCCTTCCAACTAGCTGGAACTACAGACATGTGCCACCATGCCCAGCTAATTTTTCTTGATTTATTATAGAGATGAAGTCTTGCCAAGTTGCTCAGGCTGGGCTCAAACCCATGGGCTCAGGCAGTCCTCTCATCTTGGCCTTCCAAAGTTCTGGGATTATAGGTGTGAGCCACCACTCCCAGCCATACAGATTTCTAAAACATCAGATCTACACCTGCTAGTTCCATTTCTTCACTGCTTGTTTGTTTCTTAAGTCTTTGCAGTTGTTTTTTCTAGTACTACTCTTTCTCTTGAGTTGCCTATTCCGTGTTCTAATTGCTTGGTGACTATTGTTCACTCTTGAATATACTGTCACTCAAATCCAATGTGACCAAAATTAAAATCAGTATCAGTATCATGATTTCTGTTAAAGGCAGTAAAATCAGTATCATGATTTCTGTTAAAGGCACCATTGTTCTAACCAACCCCAAATCAACGTTTTGTATCATTTTTCTCTCTTTTTAGGATTTTAAATAGACTTTCTTTTCTTTAAAAAAATTTTTTTTAGAGCCAAGTATGGTGACTAATGCCTGTAATCCCAGCACTTTGGGAGGCAGAGGTGAGAGGATTGCTTGATCCCAGGGATTTGAGACTTGGCGAGACCTCGTTTCTATAATAAATCAAAAAGTTAGTCGGGCTCGGTGGCTCAGCCTGTAATCCCGTGCCTTTGGGAGGCTGAGGTGAGTGGATTGCCTGAGCCTGTGGGTTCGAGACCCGCCTGGGCAGCGAGA